TCATCAATATTTCTTCTATATTTATATGATTAGAAGACGCACCAGGCTCGTTGACATTATTCCGGGTGAACCCAAACGCATCATTAATCATAATTTCCATTGGATCTTGGGGTTGTAAATTATCTTCTATGATATGGGTGCTCTGAGAAGTCTGTTGCACGGTTGCATTTGATTCTTCACCATGCCAATACCAAAATTTGTAGTTTTTTGGGAAAGGTTTAAGAATCAGGTGCTCTTTAACTACATCTCTTCTTTGCCATTTGTTAAAACCAAATTTTGGACATGGACACTTAATTACACGCCCATCAACTGACCCGTGCTCAAAAGCAAAATCCAAAACTTGTCTTAGACCATCTGCATATTCCGGTGTGTTTCGTGGTTTGCTAATCCAAGATTTATCAATTGGCATGGCTAGAAAGGAAGACATAAGTTAACATCACAATATTAAAACTAAAAAGATAGTTCAAAAGCTTCTATGTGACAAACATAACCTCTGAATATATCCACTTAATTTGAAAAGCCATTGCCAACTTAATTAACATGAAAAGTCACATCACTTCTACATTAATTAATTTTGAATGCAAACTCATATTGTAATCTCTTCAACTACAGAATTGTTGAATGTCAAATACAGCTCTTTAAATGGTAAACAAATTAAGAAATGGTCTATTTGGTACTTGAAACGAAAGTACTATTTTCGTTTCTTGTACAGTTAAAGTTGAACTTCAGATTATTCCTGCATTTTTGCTTTTAGTTTCAAAATCCATAAAGCCTAAGGCAAAACATAACCTGCAATAATTAGTGAATATATCCACTTAATCTGAACTAAGTTTTTCTCTTAAAAAATTTGCTCATACACAGTGTCAAACTGTTAACTTACTACTTCAGATTCTTACAGTTAGATATCATATCTTTTTACCTATACAATTGGTAACCGTTTGATAGATTAGTTGAACCTATTATAACAGAAAGCTCTGCTAATCCGCTAGTGACAAAAAAATAATCAATCTACCTTTTAATAAAAAGAAATCTGCTCAAAAGAAAGGACAAAATTAAACTGATACCTCTCAAATGTTCTACTGCCGACGTCGATCCCAATAGCTACACCAATAGATTTTGATCTCTCGGCTACATATCAAGATACCAAACAAAGCAGCAAACGTTTAAAGAAGTACTAAACTAATTGAACAGAAAAATAACAAAAAATGGACTTAAAAAAAAAAACTAAAACCATTAGAACATTAATGTCTTTCTAGTAAAAGATTACTATTTTGGATGTTATATATTTAATTGTCTGAATGAATCATAGATTATCAGACTGAGGAAAAAAAATTAGCACAAAATTGGGGAAAATCGCTACATGCATCAACCCTAACAAAGAGAAAAAGAAGTTTTGGTACTAAACATGAACCCTAATCGCTACATTAGCTGAGATTATTGAAGCTGCTAAATGAATTTCACGGATTCTTCTAGCCGGAGAAACAGATTGGGAGAAATAGAAGAATACGAAGTTTCAGGAATATCTTTCAAGTTTCACAAAAACATGGCCAAATGCAATCCCGAAGAGAAGATTGATTCTTGTGCACAGGTTGCTGGCCGAATTCTTCTAAAGGAGGTAACTAAAAAAAGAGATTAATCTAAGTTTCCACGCCGTATTGAGCATGACAGCCGCCGGAGCAACGGGATATACATTAAATCAAATGCTTCAATTTCTTGGTGTTAGCAATGTTGACGTTATTAGAGGGGAACGGATTACCTCAGCTGCAATTGTTTGGAGATTGTGAGTTCTCTATCCAACAGCCTTCAATAAGGTTGAATCATGGGAAAATTGGGGGAAATAGAAATTGGGGGAAAGGTAAACGAGACCTATGGAGGGAAAGGGGAAATTCTGGAGGGAGTCTCAAAATAGTGGGGGAAATACTAAAACTTATCGAGGGAATAATTTTGGGTAAAGTATTACGGCGTTTCTAACCGCCACAATAGGAAATAATCGCCGCTATAAAAAAAATTTAATCTGGCAGCTGGTAAAACGCCATTTTTAAATATATTTTGTGGCGGTTATTTGGAACCGCCGTAATATAACCGCCACAATAATTTTGATTTTTTGTAGTGCCGGTACACTGAGCTCCCGCTATGCGCGACCATGTTCTAACTTCATAAAGACATACAAAGAAAATAGAAATACAAAGAACCAAACTCAACGGAGTTGTTGTCATCCCTGGCGAATGAGTAGTTTGAAGGTTATCTTCTCTTCTTCAATAAATAAATTTCTATTATTTTTCTCTTATGCGATCGTCTTAATAATAGGATAACAAATATATACCCAGTATATCTTCATTACCAAAAAATGAGTGCAAAAAAATAAGAAGAAGAAACAAAACTCACCTGAAGTGAGAACTACAATTGAGGGTCATAACAGACAAATTGCATAAAGAGGAGAGATTTGAAATTACACATGAAACTGCACCAAACAAACATCGAAATCCCTAATTTTCCATGTTCGTCTTTCTCCAAGTCCCATTTTTTTCTCAAACAAATATCAAAATTCGTAAACTACCAAAGAAGGCAAAAAAAAAAAAAGAAAAGAAAAGAAACTCAAATTTGCAAGTAATTAGTACTTGCTAAGTGAAGAAACCAGATATATATGAAAAATAAAGAAAATTGATAGATATTATACCGGCGATTATGTCGGAATCTGATCTCTTCTTGCCAAGAGGTTTCGGATTCTTCTGTCAGCTTCAACACTCTCAATTGTTGTCTCTCAGTGTTACAACACACCTGAAGGGATGTTTCTTAATCCCATTTTGTGGAGGCATGCAGATTTTAAATTTAGCAATTGACATTTGATCATTAACTCCACTCCGTCTGAGGATGAAATGTTGTGCTCAACTCAACCCGTGTGCCCAACTCACGCTGAACTGCTCTCCAGAAATGCGAGGTAAACTGCGTACCTCGATCAGAAATGATGGACACGGGCACACCATGAAGTCGAACAATCTCCCGAATATAGATCTCAGGTAACCTCTCAGAAGAATAGGAGACTGCCACAGGAATGAAATGTCATTATTCTTGATTCATCTTTGTTGTCTTTTGTTTTTTCTATCATCATTCTTACGGCTATGAAATCAACGTACGCGAGAGAAAACAAATAAAAGCTAGTGTAATCGAATCTAATATTGAGAAAATTATCCGTATTTAGAAATCACAACCAAATTTAGGTATAAAATCTTTCATCTATTTTATGAAATTATAGAGCTACATCAAAATTTGAAATTGGAATTTGGATATTTGAAATTTTCTGACCCTGTTATTTTGGATGGAATTGCAAATTGGCGTAATGCAGTAAACCCGTGGGACTAAATATAATAGTGATTATTTCAGTACTGATTCTAATAACACGCGTTATTTTCACACTTGTTCTGTTCAAGAATTTTTGTTGTTTCGATGAGCTATTCGATGTGTTTGATATTACGTGTTGACTTAGGCTGCAGTAGTACACTCGCACAAGCATACATCGTAGCATGCCACTTATACCAGTATAAGAGTATGAAACTTGACATTTATTAATCATGCCCATGTGTTCTTGTATTATCCGTTTTCATGTTGCTATTGAGCCTGTGATTATGCCGGACGGATTGTGATTGTGAGCCTGTGATCATGCCGGACGGATTGTGATTGTGAGCCTGTGACTATGCCGGAAGGATTGTGATTGTGGGTCTGTGACTATGTCGGGCGGATTGTGACTGTGAGACTGTGACTATGCTGGGTGAATTGTGATTTTGGCACGTGAGTTATCCATGTGGTTGTGATTCAAGATGTGGGCACAAGGTGCCGTGTATATGATGGTGGGTTGAGACCCGGGACTTGTGACTATGATATGAGGTATCACGGAGTGATTTCGTTGTGAAACTTGTGTTAGAACGGCGTGATTAATGGGTTTTCCTTTGTGTTCCTTATTTGGTTTTAATGATACTTCACGGTGTTCTTATTGCTTTGTTGTCTATATCACATGTTGATGTTGTTGCCATTTACTTCCTTATCTAAAATAAATTAAAATTCTCTGTAATCTAGTGATACGGTGCATGAAATTGTTGCTCGATCGTGCAAGGAGCAGCAGAGACAAATTGAGGTATAGGCTCATGTTCTTGTATCGCTTCTCAACCTTTTTACTTTTTCTTTAGAAGAGTAATCTGTGTTAGCCTCTAATTATTTTAGTCCATTTGATCTATTGACAATTTAGTACAACTACACCCCCCCGCCCCCCTTCCCTACACACAAAAAAAATGATGAGAGACATCTTACCAGATATTTTAAACGTGGTGAGTCTATATGCACAAACATTTGCATCACACAACTTAATTTCAGAAGCCTAATTTATGTTAAGTGCAAGTCTTTGCTATGCACCCTCAATGAGACACCGCGTAGCACAATAACATGCTTTGCCTGCAGATGCCACAATACGTTTTTATTAAATACTGTGTGGTGTTCCATAAGCTGTTAAGTCTGCTGA